CCTCCCGCGCGCACAGCGCGCTCCCGCCCCGGCGCCCACGGGCACGCGCCGGCCCGCACGCGCTCCAGCTCCCCCTTGCCACGGGCGCCCGCACAATAACAAACCCGGCGCGCGGCGGGGCGGGGAGCGGAGAGGAGGGCCGGTGAGGGCAGGAGGGAGGCGAAGGAAGGTCCAGGCCCGCGAACGCAAAGCCAGGCTGGAGCGAACCCTGCCTCGGAGGAGCGACGGGGACCTCGAATCCAGCGGGGCCCAGAGGATCGAGCCTTTGGGCGCCAGCGGTCCGACCCTTCCCCTCCCTGCCCCTCTTGCGGAGCGGACGGCCGGGCCCCCTTCACCGCCCGGCCGTCACATCCTCCGCGCACCTGTGGGTACCAGGCCCCGGAACCTCCCTCAGCGGGGGGCACAGTTGCGTACCGGCAGAGCAGAGTAACAACTGACCAGTAGATCATTTCGGAGAGGGACGAGCGCGATGGAGGTTCAAGAGGGCCACGTGATGGAGACCTCCGAGGACGGTGGTGGTGGGGCTCCTGAGGACAGGACACTATACTGAGTCCCCCAAGGGAGAGAGGGCAAAGGAAGGTGTTTAGGAAAGGGTGTGCAAAGGTCCTGAGGCTCGTTCCCTCTGGGATGGGCCTGGAGAGAGGGTGGGACGGGGCGGGGCGGGAGGATGCGGAAGGCTGTCTGGGCCCCTGGGAATGCCAGGCCTCCCGGCAGGCTCGGGGTGAAGGACCGAGGCTCATGCTGCCCACCTCGGGACCTCCTGGGAGACAGCAGAGGGACCAGGTGTGGGGAGAGCAAAGTGGGGTCTTTGCACCAGGGAAAGATCCCCAGGGCAGAGAGGGAGCCCTCTGAGAGCCTTAATAGAAAATGAAACCGGCTGTTGTCGGCAACGTTTTGACAGGAAGCAGACCCAGCGGGGCTGGTGTGAGGCGGGGCAGCGGGAGAGGGCAGGCTGGCCCGTTCAGGCAGCTGTGTGGGGTGCTGGCGGGGTGAAGAGAGCTCTGTGTGTGGTGGAGACTGGCGCCCCCCGTCCTGCTGACCCTGACCGAAGGAGGCGGCTTGGCGGGGTGGGTGGGGGTGCGTGAAGACCTGAGGTGACTGGGGAGTGCTGTCTGACCCAGCCCATCATCTCCACCTGGGCTCAGCCCCGGCTGGGCAGGGGGCGGTGGGGCAGCCCGGACCCGACCCTGGTGTGCAGTGGCCTGACTGGGAGGCAGGCCTTCACTTTGCACTTTGCGGGGCTCTTGCCCCTCAGCAGGTGCCAGGGCCCATGCAGAGAGCAGGCTCTGCCCTCCCCTGGGGCTCCCCTCACCTGATCACATCACCTAAAACACCCCCTACTGGAGCTCCCCTCATCTTGATGGCTGGGCACAGAGGAGTCTCCCTAGCCCAGGCAGCTGGGGGTCTCCAGCTCTGGAGCATGAGGGGGTGAGGACGAAAGGCCATTGGCGCACTGTGCCCTGAGAACCTGCGGGTATGAGAGAGGGAGCCACAGTCACCTCGGGGAGCAGAGCTGCTTACCTCGCGGCTCTGCAGGCCTGACCTCCTCACGGGGTTCCTTCCTCAGGCCTTTCCTTGGGGTGAGGTGTGTGCTCCAGGATCACAAACCTGGGCTCAAGTCTGCCCTCCCGGGGTGGGGCCTCAGACAAGCAGGTCCCCTCTTGGAAAGTGAGTCTGGGGCCCAAGGGGTCGCCCTGGAGGTCCTGGTGTAGCACGGGTGGGGACAGCCCCATGCTCCCCAGAGGTCAGGCTGCCCTGGACCCGCAGGGAGGACGAACACTGTGCCCCCACTGCCCCTGCTCCCCACCCAGAGGCAGGGCCCCCGAGAGGGCCTGCGGGGGGACTACGTGGCGTGGGGAGGCCACAGGTGTGTTTGGCAGTCCTCAGCACTCTGAAGCCTGATGAGCCCAGGGAAGTGAGAGCCTCGCAGCGTGGGGTGGCCCAGCAACTGTGGGAGGCAGGGGCGGTGGGTGGCAGGCCTGTGCTGCCTCCAGCTTCTTTCTGCTCTCTGCCTTCCCTCCTCCTGGGACCCAGGCCCGACTCACCAAGGCAGGGGAGGGGGTGCAGGGGGTGGAGTGGCCAGGGCTGAGGATGACTCAGGGCCCAGCTGTCACCAAGGCAACCCTGTTGCCTAGCAATGGCGGTTTCCCAGTAACGTCTCCTAGCAATGGGATATTTTCCTGGGTGGGCCCTGGCTGGAGCCTGGCAGTTATTTTTAGCTCAGCTGCAAATCAATCTGCAGCTGCATTTTTGGCTCCTGGAGAAGATGCAAGGTGTATGTGGGGCGGCGGGAGGGAGGCAGTGGACTTCTCGTCAAGGGAGGAAACTTGCCATGTGTCATAAGGTACAGGCTCATAGGTGGGCTAGGCCAGAGTCCACCTGGGAGCAGGGTGGGGGCTGTGCAGGTGAAGGGGAATCAGAGACTATTCAGGCTGCCCGGAAGAGCTGACAGATGTGACTGTCTGCCTGATGGGGTCTCTGGGAGGGCCATTCCCTCCAGCACCCTGGGCTCCCTAGGTCAGGCTGGCCAGGAGCCTTCCAGGCTAGTGTTGATGGTGGGCACCTCTGGAGTGTGCCACTTGGTGGCAGCTTCCTGGCACCACGTGGCTCTGGGTTGTGGGAACCATCCTGATGTCTCCAGCCCGCAGCCCCTCCAAGGGTGACAGCACCCTGCCCCAGGTCAGCTGGAGCACACCTTCAGGAGGTCCTGGCTGCAGGGGTCTGGGCTCCCACAGGCTCAGCTGGCCTCTGCTCAGCCCACGTCTCTCCCTCTCCTCGATTTTGCTGAAACGGGAGCCCAAATGAGAGGTCTCAGCAGCTGGCAGAACTTGACCTCTCTGGGCTTTCCCACCATTTCCTCAGGAGCTCGACTCGCCGACCCCTTGAAACCAGTTCTCGCCTCCCACTGGCCAGCTTCCTGTTCCTGGTTTGCCCTGGGCGCCAACCAGACCTGGGGCGTAGTTCCCATCCGTCCACCTCCACTGACTCCGCCTGGGCTTTGTGTGGCTCCCACAGGCCCCAGATGGCCCAACCCCACCCCGATCTTGCGTGCTCCTCACCTGTGCCCCCCTTGCTGGAGGGCATGGCCCACCTGAGACTGCTCCTGGTTCCACCATCTTCTGGTCCCCAGCCAGGACCTGGGCTTTGAGTGGGAAGTCATTTTGAAGGGTCAGGGCACTGTAGTGTCCGGAGTTGGAGGCACACGCAAGAGCCTCCAAATGGAACACAGTATCGGGGGAGTTACCTGAGATTTGGGATGTCATTCGTCTGTCCACACACTCTCTGGGTATTTACCGAGCACGTCTTCTCCTGCGCCCACAGCCCTCTGGGCTTCTTGATGTGGGCAGCAGACCTCTGATGGCTGACCGCACTGGGCGCTTCAGAGAAGCACCCCTCGCAGGCTGCGGGGCCAGGAGCTGTGAGCAGAGGCAGCCTGCGGGGTCTTCTTCCGCAGGTGACAGTCAGCGCCACCACCCAGCCCTTGGAGAATCAGCTGGGCAGGAGCAAGGGGAAGCTTGCTATGGGGGGGCCACCTCAGGGCCAGGTTTGTGCCGTTGCCAGACCAGGTCACTTTATAGGAACCCCTCCCAGGAACCCAGGGACACTGTCCTATTCTCAGGGGGTGGGAGGGGGTGGACAGGGAGGGTGGGGAGCCAGGGCCCCTGGCCGGGGGGAGGAGGATCTGAAGCAACTCCCCACACTGACACCGAGGGGTGCCTTAAGCCCGCTGTCAGCCTCGCCAGCCTGGGGCAAGGGCGGTCCAGGGCCCTGGGGGTCTCTCCAGAACTAGACCTAGGTCTCAGCAAAGGCGACTGACTGGGATTCCCGTTCCTTTCCTCCCACTGGAGACTCCTTTGCCTTCTATGTGCTCACTGCCATGCCCTGTGTTTAGTTCAGTTCAGTTGCTCAGTCGTGTCTGACTCTGTGACCCCATGGACTGCAGCATGCCAGGCTTCCCTGTCCATCACCAACTCCCGGAGTTTACTCAAACTCATGTCCATTGAGTTGGGGATGCCATCCAACCATCTCATGCTCTGTCATTCCCTTCTCCTCCTG